CCCGCAGCAACCCTCAGTTTGTTTTGTGAGATTAAGAGTCACTTATGGTTTGTCCAGGACTTGTTTTTAAAGTAGACCACAAACTCCAAGGTTTAGAAGCACAGTTTAAAGAAATGGGTTTCACCAAGGATAGTCTGACCCGGAGATTTGAACAGCACAGCAATGCCTTTGGCAAGCCAGGCAGCCCAGGATGAGCTGTGGAGAGCAGTTCTGGCCCCCAAATTCACTTCAATGGAACTGAATATTTTATACAGCTACGTCACTGAAGTTCTCATCTGCTTGCACACTCGTGTGCTTGACAAGCTGCCAGACCTGGTGCGAGGTCTTCCCACCTTAACCTCTATCCTGTGACGAAAAGTCAAGAACTAGCGCGTTGGAGTTGTGTGGGAGTCTGTCCTGGAGGAGTGTGGGCTGCAAGAAGGAGATATCACAGCCCTTTGTACCTTCTTTATTGCCCATGGCCACAGGGCAGAATACTATGGTGCTAAAGTGAGGCAGATGTATATCAGGGATGTCACTTTCCTAATCACTAACATGGTAAAGAATCAGGCTCTGCAGGATGGTTTACTGAAGGCTGTTCAGATCATTGAGAAGGGGAAAGCAGTGAGGGCCCCCAAAGAGCAAAAGTCATCGCTAAAAGAGTTGCTACCACCAGTCAGAAACTAATTTTGATGACCAAGAGACTCTACTTCTAGGAATTTATCTTGCAAATGGGGGGAAAAGATGCATGTACAATTTATTATAGGCTTATTTTTATAGCAAAAGTGAGGGAAGCCTTAAATATGATAAATTGATACAATGGATACTTTTTGTTTAGCAATATTAGAGAATGAAGAAGTTCTTTGTGTAACTGTAAAATGATATGGAGTTATCACCAAGATGTATTGTTTTCAAATATTTCCTATATATTGTGAAGTAGGAAAAAAGGGCAAAAACAAATACACACACACACACACACACACACACACACACACAAGCTAATATATCCACAAAATTCATAAACTTTTTCTGGAGAGATATATTAGAAAGTAAGAACATTGGTTGTGTCAGGAGAAAAAACGAAGAGGCTAGGGGTCAAAAGTAGGAGGAATTATTTTCACTGTTACTCCATTTTGTAAATTTTTGAATTTTGAGCCATGTGAATGTACTGCATACTAAAAGACAAACAACAATAAAAACACCTAATATGTATTGTAAAAAAAAAAAAAAAGCACCCATATTTACCAATGTTTATTTGTTCAAGCTTCCTTTATAAATTGAATTATTTCAGGGCAGACATCACAATATAATTTTTGCTATCATGATTCCTGCCATGTAGTGATGCACTTATTAACAGTAATTGTTTGAATGGACCAAACTCATACCACTTTCTAGTATTTCTTTCCTAAACACCATCTGCCTATTTCCAGGATTGGTTCCTTTTGAGAAATGCTGATGCAGAATGGGATCAGAATGATCCTGAGTACTCCTGAGTACTCCTGGAGTACTGAAACTCCAATGTCTTAAGAGATTGAGGGGCAGGGTAGGGGGTACATGAGGAATTCAAGGAAAGCTCTCTCTTGTCTGAAAGCTACTGAAACAACCAGGATATGACATCCTTAGGTTAAGGGAACAGTTTCTATTGCTAATCTTTAAAAATTGACTTTGAGAAGAACAAGGGATCCAAATGGTTTTATCGAATGTCCTCTTTTATATCCTTTTCCAAGCTCAGATTCGCCACCTATTTTCCTTTCCCTTCTAACTATGCATATTTTTACAGATGTTTCATTATTCTATTTGACTTACATCCAAACCCAGTGGCTTAAGCTCTTGTGGAAGGATAATAATCAGGGATATCCATTTATGTTTTCATGATTTTATCTCATATATATTTTTTTTTTCCTTCACCATTCTGACCATCCCTATCCCCAGCAGACAGATGATACCATACACGAAGCCTCAGTGGGGGAATATAACAGGCAGTCAGTCTGTGATCATCATGAACTTGCTTCAACAAGGTCAGATGCGGGAAAGTTGTTTGGTGGCAGATGGTTCATCATTTTCTTGGCAAAGGGATAATAGCAGTTTGGCACATCTAGGCGGAAGGGACCACCAACAGCCTTGCAAAGTGTGTAGGTCTAAAGTTGGGAGCTGGGGGCTTAACTAGCCATGCTAACCAGGTGCTGACCATCAATGACTGTCTTTGTAGATAAATAACTTAGTGAACAGGGGAGTAACCCACCAAGAGCTGGATGGATAGCCTGTTTGATTCCACAACCTTAGCACACCCTGAAACAGAATTATATTGAATTTCCCTTCACCATAAAATGGAGTTTTGAATGAGGAGTAAAAATCAATTTATAGCAATAAAAAAATTATGTTTCAGACACCCTGAATTCATGGATTGAGATTCATACCTGCTACAAAATAAAGAAATCAGGCTGTTATTTAGAGAAATGCTCTATACTCTGAGTCCAAAGCCACCTGATTATGGGGCTTTGCTACCATTCCCCCTCAATATTAAACAAGGAGTGGCTTGTTTGCTTGTTTGCTTGTTTGCATCCTTGGTTGCTACAGATTGACTAACACTGGAAGGAAATAACTTAATATGTGTAGCAACAGAGAGTCTCATTTAAATGGAATAAATACAAACATACGTCAAATTTCATCACAGAGGAAAAAGAATGAAGTCAAACTTTTGCTCTTACTTAATGAACTGCCACATTAAAAAAAAAAGAAGTTTACAGGCTATGAATAAACATAACAGCTAGCACTCAAACAGTGCTTGCTATGGGTTGAGCGCTGTTTTACATGATTTAACACACATTAGCATTACCACATACCTAAGGAGTAGGTTAATTATTAGTCCCATTTTACAGATGAAGATTTTGAGATACATGGGAGTCATATCACTTACCCAAAGTCACATTGATGACAAGCAGCAACTCTGAGATTTGAACACAGTCAGTCTAGTTACAGGGTCCGGCTTGACCATCACACAATGCTGCCTTTGCCCACAAAAGCTCAAATATTTGAATGAAATAAACTCCAGAGGAGAAGAGATTATTAGGTCCACTCCCTTTATTGTAAAGAGGAGTAAATAGTAGCAAAGAGGATAAAGAGGCTTGCTGAGTGTCAAATAGCTCAGCAAATCACTCATCTTTGTTTTCCTATGACAAGCAATCGTCATCCATCAAATTAATCATTTTGCTTTTAATATTTCTCAAATGGCAAATCGACAGTTTAAAACACAGCTTTTTACAGCCTTCCAAGAATTTCACCTCAACCGCTCTAAAGCTGACATGAGACCTAAACTGACAGGACGCCAGGTGGGCTTAGAGGCGAGGTAACACACCTTGATGGATCATCTCCGGGTGTCTGGGAAGCAAGACTGTGCCAGGAAACCATTTAACAGAAGAGCAGAGAAAGGGAACTCATGGGACTTGAGGGTGATCATTTAAAAATCAGAGAATTTGATGCTGAGCAATTTTTCCTCTACTCTTACTGAAACACCTAGGATTAGAAATCTTTCCTTGGGAAACGTGATTTTGATGTTCCTCCGCTTACACTCCATCAATTTTAAAATAAGATTCCCATGGAAAACGGCTCACCCCTAAAAGAGCAAAGTAATCATTCTGATTCTGCCTTGCCCTTTAGCGAGGACTAGCATATAACTGTACCATCTCATTGGCATGAAAAGAGTCCCCATGATGAAGTACTGTTAAAGAAAATAAGACCCACTTCTGTGTCTTGAAAGCGAAAGATCTAACGTGGGAAGATTTTTAAAACTCCATCACGGGAGTTGCAGCAAGAAAATCTGTATTATTTAGATCACTGGGCATTCAATGATCTCCCATCTTAATCTTCTTTGGTTGCGTTGACACATCCTGTCATTGATAAGCTCAGACCTCCATTATGACAAACTGCTGAAATCTGAATCGGATGATACTAGGGAAAAAACAGTCACGGGTTTCTAACCTTTGCAACCCTTATTTCTATTTTCATCAACAGAATACTTTCATTGCTTGTACGAAAGGAGATGATGATGAATATGGGGAATCTGCTTTCTCACAAAGACATGCTAAGAGTGAAAATAGAAGCAAGTAAGTAATTGAACTTGTGTTGAGAAGACCATTAACAAAGCCCCCAAAACAAAGTAATTTAAGTAAGACTTAACCTGAGCAGAGTAAGAAGGGAAAACGTAACAAAACAAAAAAAAAGTAAAACCAACAAAAGAAACCCACCTACCACCAGAATGCAGAGTCGCTGTAAGTTAAGGAGGAAAAAAGTACTCTGCGAATGGAATTCATCACTATTGTGATTATTGGGTTCCTCTTTATTAAATTAGAAAAGAAGCAACACATTTGAAAATTAAAGTGTAGCACCCAGATAGAAGAAACACATTTAAATCTTTAGACATCTACTTGAATGCTAACGTTCTCTTTAACAAATTCATTAAGTTTTAATGTAGATATATTCCAACAAAATAATGGAATTGTTAGTATTACCCAGAAAGACCCTAAATGGGAAACATGAACTCAATATCAACCCACTTGGATGAAATCTCTTCATTTTCCCTTGAAGGAGCCTAGTTCTGGGGACCTTACATAAGCAGGCAACAAGGTACCTTGTGGCTTTCTGACAATCCACAGAATAAATGATAACAGCAAAACAGAGGTACTGGCCAACTCACCCCTGGCACATCAGGACTACTCTTCCCTTTCTATTCTGCACCAAGGTTACAGCCTTGTGGCCAAATGAATTTATTGTTCATAACAAGTCCCAAAGGCTCAGCTATAAAAAAGGAACCCTATGACCTCGAACTACTGTATTGAAAGGACCCTGCAGCAGACTCTCCTCTGAGAACTAACAAAGAATTTTATATGTGCATTAATTTGAAAAACTAAGATAATCCTTTCTTTCAAAAAAAAAAAAGAAAAACGACAATAGCAACAACAACAAAGGAAAGGACCCCTGGCACTTACCACTCTGCCATATGCAAATGTGACCTGGGGACTTACCGCATTAAAATTGGGGAAGAGGTTGACTGCGGCTGCAGTGTCCAGAGGAAAGGGAAGAAAGGGTTTGATATCCAGCGAAGGCTGCAGAGGAGGGGCTGGTGGACGGACCAGGGCTGGGAGAGCGGGGCTCTGGCATGTACCACCTGCAGAGAGGAGAGCAAAGGGAGCCATCAGCGACATTGTGCATGTTAAAAACAAAAACAAAAAACCATCAAGGTGTCTTTTGAGCCCAAAAGGTCAGCTTTGTGGGTCACTGGAAAAAACAAGACAGGGACTGTAGTGGCCTCAGCTATGAAGTGGCCAATGAGCTGATCTGCCATTAGTCAGAGGGAGCTAGTGAAGCTGCTCCCTTTCCCTCCTCAGATAATAACTGTACAGTTGTGTAAGTAACAGCAAACATTTCAAACATTTCATACTCCACAATCTATCCTTCCTTTCTGGCCTACAAACTCTGGATTGGATCAACAACAAATCTTTCACTAAGATCCCTTGATTCCAAAGGAAAACTCCTTCGTTGCACTCCCACCCCTCTTTGAAAACGAACTTCTACTCAGAACACCCATAGAGTCTAAGCGATTATTTTACAGAACTGCTCTTTTCCACCACATCCAAAACTCTGGCAGCAAGATGACATGAACTTGGCATGGAAAAGAAACTTAACCACAAAGACAGGCAGCCACACCTTACTGACCTGGCAACTGGAGGATTAAAACAAGTGAACCCAGTTACAAACCCAGCAATCCCTGAACTGTTCAGCACCCCGGTAGCTCTGAACATTCGGATGACTACCTACGTCCTTCCCAGTCATGAGTAGGTGGAATTTAGAAGGCCACCAATGAGCAAGCAGTGGGAATATTATGCCAACAAAGACACCCTTTGCATACTAGTAGGCAACCGGCTGTTTGCAAGGGAGCGCCCCCACTCCTCTCCCTCACTCCCCATTATAGGACTTCATGCACTCAGAAGCTGGAAGGAAAGAAGCCCATCTCAGTGTTCAGTCTCCCATATTTTGGTAACATTCCAAAACATCAATTTGCTGTTAATTAAAGGCTGTTTGAATCCTAGGAAACCGTTAAAATATGCCAGCATTCTTCTAATCTGAGAGGCAAGCAACAGACTGTAAAAACCTGCTGGTGAAAATCCAAGAAGCATTAGGAAAACAAAATACAGTGGGATTTTTCCTTTCTCATGGAAAAGAACTCTAAGAGACAGAAGAGAGAAGAGAAGCTCATGTCTGTGCCACTCACTTGCCTGCCATTTTGTTTTCAAAGCAAAGTAGAGTGATACCCATAGGAATAATCTTCAAAAATCTCACAATCACCTCTCTGGTCGGCTGGACACAACCATCATCCTGCCCTCAATCAGTTCAGTTACCTGAACACAAGGTAAACTTTCTAAAAGTGATTCCCCGATGGTGAATCTAACTGTCCTGGATCAGTAGATCTGCTAACAAGGTGGGTGACTTCATGCCTGCAACCGAAGCCATGGGCGCAAGATGTAATTAGGCATACAAGAAAACCATTAACTCTCCTGTTTCCAGGTATAAAATCAGCTGGAGTCAAATTAACAAAACCAGTATTTTCCCCCACTCTTTTCCCTTCCCTTTTAAAATGTTCCTTAACAACAGCAAGGCCAACAGCAGCAAGTTTGAATCAGCAAACCAATTAAAATAGAAAGTAGTACAAATCAGAAAATATAGGGCAGATGTTAAAACAAACGCAGATCAAAGCAAAAAAATAACAAGTCTGCATTCACCAGAGCACGCCGTACACGTGTTTTATTGTCCACCTGTTAGTATATTGAGTGTGGGTACCTAACTTTCTTAGAGAGAGCATCCCCAAAACTTTGGTGATAGATCTGTCTTGAGTTCAGTATTACTAATAATTTATTTTGATTAAAAGTTAAAGAACCAAAATGAATTTTTGATCGTACGTCTGTAGAAAACTCAAAGTAAAATATGTCTGGGTGGAAATCAATGATATGGTTTAATGTGAACACAAATAATGTGAGTTTTAATAAATAATTTTGTATTATTTTTATCTGTGTCACACATCATGCTTTACAGAAGGTGTTCACATATATCCATTACCTTCTTTGAGCCTAAAATATCAGAAATTAAGTAAGGGCTAACATAATACTATGGAGAAAAAATAAATGGAAAAACTCTTCAGTTGTTAAGGTAGTTTCCATTGAAACGTTCTGTTCTTGTGATTCAAAGAATACAACTAAGCAGGAACATATTCTGTAATTATTTCATTTATAAGTCCCCCTCTGGTTTGGAATGACTAAAAAAGTTAAAGAGATAGCTCAAGCGTATTTATTTACTTTATCCAGCACAATGAGAGGCGCAAAGTTGACTGATTGCTTGATAAAGTTAAATTCCCACCTCCATTCCTCCAAGATACGTATGCATTTCATATACACTGATACATGTAGGTCAAGACCTTCTCTCATTGTTGCCACTGGGTTATCTTTAGTAGGGGATACCAAATATCAAGAAAGAGTCATAAAATTTGGGGAAACTTGGCAAACTATTGGAGCCCATCTCTTCTTACCTGTTTGAAGAGATAAGCCAAAAGGCCATTCGAAAGCAGAGCACACGTGACTACATGCTTTTTGGCTACTGGCTATGCAAATACAGGTGTAGTGGATGCTGCAGGGTGCTTAGACAGGCCCCTTACCCAGCCCCTACGAGAGCTGGTTAGCACTGGGAGCTGAGGACTCAAACTGAGAACCTACACATACATTGCCTTGGGCCAGAGGGTGCCCCCTTACCACAGGTCAAACTCTTCCAGAGTAAAATGACTGATTAATACATGGGCTTCAAGGCTTCTCCCTTTCGCCTCAAGACAGGACGACTCTGGAGCTCTATTTCTGTTCTAGAACTCCTCATAAAATCTAGGATAGACTGACGCCTCTATTGTGACTGTATCACAGTTCAACTTTTCCCTCTGCCCAATCCCGTATGCTTCACTCCTCAGAGAAGATGATCTCCAGCAAACTCTGGGTCCACTTGCAGTACTTGGACAGCAGGGTATAACTATTCATGAGTCTAAGTGAAATGTCGAATGCTTTATTCTAAAATAGATATTTGCCACAAAATCCACAGAGCTGATATTAAGGTAAAAAACTGAAGCTCCCTCTTAAAGATTATCTGTGACTAACATTTCTCCTTTTAAAAAATTTGGATATGTCCTGAAGTACTTCCTTGCATCAAACTGCTCAGCAGCAAGAATATTATTAGCAAATAGGGCAAAATCAAAATCAGCAAATAAAACCCATTTAATTTATAAAGCAGCCTAAAATATTCTTGAGAAAACAGATATTTCATTTCTTCATTTTTAAAAAATAGAAACTACTGCATTTAGGATACAAATATATGTTTACTATTATTTTCTTTATTATAAACTGACCTTAATGATAATGAATATCAAAGTGCATAATAAATTGGTAGGCATTATTATCTATTAAAAAGAGTAGCTTTGTTGTTATTATTTACCAACAGTGTTCCGACATTCATTGGAATATCACACTTCTGGAAGTATTAGTATTCTTAATTTGAGGAAAGCATTTTGAAGCCTTGAGGAGGTGAGGCTGAAAAAAATGTTAAGTTCATACCTTTTATGTTTGAAACCCTGCCTACCTATGTCTAATACCACCTCTTTCATATCCTATGCAATTTTAACAGACACATGTTTAACAAATCAAATTATTCTGATTTCAGAGCAGTTAATATCTGTCTGTATACCAAATTTCTAATATGCCATGAAAGTCAGCAAATAAAAACATTCATTTAGTATGTTAGACACTAAGGTACTGAATAATTTAGGTAAATTAAGTAAATAAGATAATCATTAAAGTTCATAAAAATTTCCCTTTTTAATGTTTATTCTGCTAGTTTATATTTAGAACTTAGAATTGAACTATCGAGCAAACATTAAATATTACTTTGGTCTGTTCACAAGACAGCTCTATACTCACAAAAGTACAAACATGAATTTGAAAAAAAAAAACCACAAGAGTAACCCATTTGTTAATGGAGTATTTGTTAATAAAGATTATGTGACAGAGTATGAAACATTCACTTCAAAAGTTTGCATTTCTGAAAATCAAATTAAAATATAAAATTTGGAAATGTTCATCTTAATAATTCATACAGAAAAAAGAATATTTTAAGCCAGCAGTTGCCACTCAAAGCCTATCTTTTTAGATATTGTACGTATAGTACTTAGCCCAATGGGTCCACTAAGTGAGGCATGTATTTTTTAAGGAACCTAGTGAATTGCAGAGGAGCTGCTCAAATTCCTCCAGACACAAATTGGGGCTCTCTGAAAGCAGTCAATCAAGACAATCTTTAAAGCATGTTCATATCATTCAGTTTGTTTATTTTGACCCTGCTGAAATAGGATCTTCACAAAGAAGATACTTTTTAAATCAATATTTTGAAATACTCCTTCAGAATGACACAGTGTTCTCTCTGTAATATAACACTTTTAACCTTGAACTTCTGCACTTAATCCATTCATGCATTCACGGTTTATCAAATAGTCACAGATGTCCTGTCTGACAGCCTGACAGCTTAACCTACTACTTAATCTTTCATTTCTCCAAATGACAAAACTGAAGTTCAAAATAATCAAAGGTTGCAGCTGTTAAATATTCAAAACCATGTATGCTTTAGAACTGGGAATCATATATATATACCAAATATAATTATATATACATGTAAAAATATGCATATAATTATATAGAACATACATAATTATAATACATTATATATACATAAACTATTTTTAAGTCTCCATTTATAAAAATCAGCATAAATCCTCAAGTTCCTGATCAGATAAATAATTTCTATGATATCTTTTTCCTTAACCATCAGTTTTACACACACACATGCACACACGCACACATATATACACATATATATGTATATATATAACTTTAACTATACATTTTTATTTAAATATACAAATATTAATTTATATATTAAATATATAATTATACATATATATACTTATATACAAGCATAATATGTTTCAATATTGAGCTATGATTAAGCTAATAAACCACTCAGAATATTCATATCTAACAGGAAAACATCAAGAGCATTTTTTTAAAAGATTTTATTTATTTATTTGAC